ATTATTTATTTATTTATTTATTTATTTATTTATTTATTTATTTATTTATTTATTTATTTATTTATTTATTTATTTATTTATTTATTTATTTATTTATTTATTTATTTATTTATTTATTTATTTATTTATTTATTTATTTATTTGTCGTGGCAACCTGAGGTATACAACACATAGTAGCGCCAACATAATGAATTGAACATTATTTAATTGGTCTGAGTGCGTTACCATCTCATTTCACCTATAGAGGAAGGCGTATGGCCTGAGGGTAAATATTATACATGTCCCCGTACATTACTGTAGCGCTGCCTTTTCATTCATTACATACGTCCATTAAAGTCTTTTAAAAGCTGTACCAGCGCCCCCAATTTTCGATTATTTTTGTTATCAAAGTTGTTGTGTTGAACGTCAGTACAGTACGTCTTAAAATGTCCATGTCAATGTCACAAGGCAAGTGCACACAGAGGTTGATGAATTACCTGGCACATTTGTAATCAAATTTGATGGTCCAGGTCTATGAAGCGTTTCTATTGATATCGACATTTCATTCATTATTAATACAACATTGCTCGTCGCGTGCACGGTGTGGTTGGTTCGGTGGCAGCTCCTATTAAAAGTTGATGGATTATTTTTTGCTGGATTTGTTTCATTACCCTAGTTCAGATATAATTAGTCTTGCTTCAATGTTTAAAATTGATTTGCCTTCTAGCGTGCACATGATACTTCAACTCTTCATCTGAGAACAAACGCGCAGTGTTCGAAGTTCCGAATGCTGCAATCAGAAATAAAAAAATCTAAAAAAAAAACTATTTACCAGTCCCTGCATGAATGCAATGTATCCAATATTGTAACGACCATTTTAAGAAAAAGTTCTTCACAGCATCCTGTTGCCGATAACAGCGTTACTGGATATTATGTCTGTCTGTCTTTATTAACAATTAATATGGCAAGGCAGTTACCCTGCGGTGAAATATACACACCCGTTATAATTAAATTTCATTGTGATTGGAGGAAGCCTGGACACCATAATGAAATGTGCATATTTGACAAGATGCTCTGCAACAGAGCGACGTACAACGTGCATAGTGTTAGGTCAGTTCACACGCTACTACGAACATCGGTGGCAGCGCAGTTTAAACATTACTAATGCCATTCAGTTCCCATGTGACACTGTTTCTAGATGTACATCAGTTTACGTACAAGCAGGTGAATCTGATCGGTTTCATGTGTTTCCAGAGTTGCGTCTGAAAACCACACAGTTGCCTGAAAGGGAATATATCGTTGTAGGAACTGTTATATTACATTGCTTTGCCGAAACAACGTGTATATACGATCACTGATCTGAAATTGGGTTTCATTGGCCGGAGGTTGCGATGAAATTCTGTACAAGAAATTTATTTGAGTTAATTTTAATACCAGTGCTTTTTATGACATACGAGATGAATATCGTGTGTGGTGGGTCAAACGATACATTAACAAATTCTACAAGCGAAGTAGATGTACACCTTGCTGCACTGTTGCCGTATTCTACAGAAGGGGATATTGTAAGCGGGGTGATACCAGCTATATACCTAGCACTGGAACATGTCAATAAACACGACGACGTACTACCGGGATTCCGATTGAATATTGAATTCTTCGACACAAAGGTAAGTGGTACATATTTATAGGGGATATAGTGGAAGCGATTTCACAATGGGACACCTACCTTCAAATACCCCGTAAGCAAACAATGCATTTTACAGGCGTTGTATACGACACATACCACCTATATCGGACATAAAGCAAAAAGACGATTGTAGGAAAACGTATATACACTTATATACAGCTGTCTATTCAAAATGAACGTTTATGGCGATATTTGTTTTCATATGACACAAATCTGAAACTTGAAACTACAATTATGATGAATGGTGCTTTATGTATTTTTAATTTACTTTTAGAAATAATCTTCTCTATTGCAACACATTGGTTCTGAATATCAGTTAATGTAGGTTGCCAATTCAGCGCCTTCGGCATATATGACAACCAATACGCATATACCTATATCGCTATGCTATGACAATTCAATGAATGCATTACATAGGGCACCTCATATGAATATAAACGGAATGAATTGTTGATATGTTTAATCACAGTATGATATATACTAAAAGGTTTACACGCTTTGAAAGTTTTGAAAGGCGAAATTGTCTAGAAACAAATATCATATAAGGATCTTGCTAGAATTATTTTTTTTAATGATTTCCGAGACAGTAATTGTTTTTTTGGTTTCTTGAATAGAAGACCTCAGTCGTGTCTAACTTTCGTATGGAATTTATTTTCACTGATTTTTGATGAGCTTAATGTGAAATATAGGAAAAAATGTATATTCGCTGGATTTTATTTTCACGGAATCATCGTCGTTACGCTTGATTATTGGGTGTGCAATTCCCACGAGCCGCAATGTTTGTTTCCTGCTAAACGTAACATGTCTGAGATCCACCGATTTATACATGTGTATTGCATTATCTACTGTTATATATCAGATACACATTCTGACCACATGCCAAGTCGGCGAATAGTTAACGTCGGTTATAAATCATCCCAGATGCAGGGCTTGTTAGCAACGTGTGTGTTAACATATGTGTAACACATTCAATACCATCGACATATGATGTAATTCAAAATATTATATCACATTTCCTGCTATGACATCATTTTTGTGACTTTTAAACTCTGAACTGTGTTATACGTGATGCATAAACTATTGAATAATATTCCCACTCGCATATAGATATAGTACCATTGGGAAGTGATATTGTTCTGATCTTCAACCCGTGATGCATGGAAGACGGGTGAGACGAAAGATGTGTGATTATGTCATATAGCGTATTGCAAACACGCAGAGATCGGTATAGGAATCACATACTGACACATTTCTTTTGTTCGCGACTGAATAACTGACTCTACAAGTTGGTCGTATAACCAGAATGAGTTCATCGAATTCACTAACAGTAATGCTTGGGGACTGACATAAATGTAACAAATTAACCGCTTGTAACGCAAGTTTTCATTCTATAGGGGAATCTGTGAGTTAGACTAACAGTAAAATAAATGTTGTCCATTTTGAAGAGTGTTAACAGAATGTGAATTGAACTACGTTCACTAGTATATATTTATGTATCATTTTGAAGACTGAATGTGAAATATAATTAGTGCAACACTGCAGTTGCCATGGCAAATAGGCGTACGAACTGTCAGTTTATCATTATTTTGTAGTGACGTCTTATTGTGTTACAGTAATAAATGCATTTCAGAATTACAAACGACATCATGGTAAGTATTATCACACCGATCAATGGTTGTCTTGGGTTATCAGTGTAGAAGGCAACGTGTTGTTTCCTGCTGAAAAAATCCTATGAAAACCGACGTAGAATTGAAGATACAAAATAGCAAGATTGATGTGCAAGATATGTTGTATAAATACACCGAATGTTTCCCAAGGCATCAGCATATGTGCCTTTTTCCGTATCACAGGCTTCCGACCTGTCTTTGAATTCGCTGAGACAAGAATTGAATAGATGAAAAAAGTACGCCCACAACATTTCGCCTTATCAGTGTATTATGTGTTACGTATTGATATATAACATTCGTTTTTATCTCATATGCGAGATATCAGACATCACTGCTGTTCGCGACGCGCATTGTACTGTAACACAGTATTCTCCTGGGGGTAACACGACAGCGTGACAATCTATGATTAACAAAATGTATAATGAAATTAAAGCCGTTAATATAATTACTTAAACACAATGCATGCGTTATATTACGTTGTTTCTATGCAGCAAATGACATAACCATTATTTAGTAAAACTAAGTGAAAATATCCAAGCAACACTTTGGATTTAGAATCTGTATTCACGTTATACTATAGCTATAAAACGATTTAATTGCACAGCACAATATAAAACCTACACACTGTTGGGGATAAGATATAGAACATCATACCGCTCGGGAAATTATATGCATATCAACACTTTCAGTGACACGTATATGCGTTTTCATTCATAAATCATTAAAACATTAAAAGAGTTGATGGACAAGCTTTTAATGCCAGGTGACATAACTCTATGCAGCAAACAATACGCAGTCACCCGAATCTCTCGAGACTGTGTACGGTTCCCTGCTGCATGAACAGTTCAGGGATAAGCCATGTCTTCGGGTCAACTTACAGACAAAAAATAGCTGTACCATAAAGGCAAGAGATTCTATGCATTAACCGCTTTATTTACCATTACTGTATAAATTATAAGATAATAAATCACACCTGGCTTGCATCACTCATGGCAACGTCAATATACATTGAGGGATGATTCATTGATATATGCAAGTCATATTACCGTTAACTGTATAATCGATTAGTTCCCAGTGTAAATCATGACTCAGTTAAATTTGCACATAAATCAACTGGACGAATTGTTTGACAGCTGCTGCTCAGGTGACAATATACGCAGTCACACTAGTTGTAACATGCTGCGAAGTTATTATTACGCGTAATAACATTTGTATTTATTGTATATGGTTTTACCGATTTAGGATGAGCTGAGGTGGTTTTACAACGAACTGTAATTCCTATGTCAAACGCGAATTTGGTCAGCATGTCATGGAACAAACACGATTATGAATCATCTTTTTTGTTCTAGAAAACGAAGGTAGCCAATATACGACTTTTCTGGTAGGAAACTTGTGTATTTGGTGGGAAACAATTGGCGAGCGCAAATTTTTCCTAAAAGTAACCATTAATAACCAGTAACAAGGTGATGTGTTTGATAGCTATAGCCAGAAAATGTCACGAAGAAATGTACAACGAGCGCATTGGTCTACGATTAATAGTTTGCAACATACAGTAGATTAAATTGATCACAGTTTTACACTAGTAAAATACAGGAAGCTGTTATGAATATCGGAAGTGTATGAATACGAACGTCACTCATATGAATACAAATACAAATCTGACCAATAGGTTATATCTCTATATTGGAAATGGAGTTAATTAATAACACAATCACAGTACCTGAAAGCCTATACTGGACAAACACACTGTCAATACCACTACATCAGCTGTGCAATTATAGGTACAAAAATACATTGTATGTATTCCTGGCCCGTGTAGGGGTACAATGTAGTGAAACCTGGTCGGTAATCGTGACAGCATGATCACCTGGGCAATCGTATATTTCAGCTTGTTTGTTTACTTGTTTATATCTCTGTGAAACTGTGCATCGTTTGTTACTGAATTTGATTTCCTTCAATCTGCAAGGTAAACATACATTTGCCTTTGTATATACATACAACTGCGCATTTGTAGGGACCCTGAGACGATTTTAAAAATTTGTTTTTCGCGTGTACTAATACATTAGTAATGCACGGTGTGACAATGTCTGTCAAAATGCATGAATTGCATTTCATTCAAACATTTTATGACATGAATTACACTAGCAATTCAACTATTTGCAACACGATAAACTCATTCACTTATGACATAACCCATTTCCGATAAAACTGACAAGAATCGTTAGTGTAGCTTCCCCGAGTACATTGTGATTTTAGTTCAACTGTAAACGGGGCATGTACCTCAGACACGGAAATGACTCGTAAATTGAATACATTTCAGTTCTGAAAACGCTTTAGCTTTTATGATGTGAATAATTCAAAAAATAAAAGAAACATGTTCGTGTCTGGAAGGTAAATTAACTTGGGGAATTTATTGGCGTTTCTTATATGACTCCAGTGTGTCAAATTGTTCAATAATACATCGTTATTCCGTTACTGTCTTGAAGTGATAGAATTCAATTCACACTTGTGTACGAATCTCTACTCACAGGTATATATGTAATAACAATCTGGAATCGAACGATTATATTATAGAAATATTGACCCTGGCCAAAGTCAATATATACAGATTTGTCTGTGGGTATCAACCGAGGCTGGAATCAACATTTGTAATATTTACAAAAAGAAAAAAACAAAGATCTGTCCTGCCCAGATTTTAAATGACATCAAGTAGCTGTTTCATCACTCTTCCAATGGTTCGGGTGTACTTATAACTTCCAAAATTGTTGTAAATTTTTGTAGATATAAAGTTGCTTGGAGGGACTCTTTGACATCCCAGAAGCTGCGACGTTTACACGTGATGCGTTCGCAACACCAACAAAACAACATACTGCGCTGTACACAAACACAATACAACTACAAATTTCTGGTTAAACGAACAATTTAATTAAAACCACTTGTATGTAAGATAAACAACGAGTAATACAATTACATTGATAGAATAAATAGAAGCACTATAGTCATTCGGTATACGACGTCAACAAATCCAGGAATACTGTCACGGTGCGAAACCCATCAGAATCTCCGGCCTTGTTTTACGAGCAATAGATAGATGTCACATCTTTGATTGGGGTCTGTGATACAAGATCTACTTATACTAGAATACTGTGCATACAGTAGTACGAAGTGCATATCTTTTCCTTACCAGAACAGTATGAACAATACGAACACAAGTTGATGAGCGTTTTTTTTTTTTCAAACTCATGACTTAGTTTATGGTTTTCTGTAAAATATGTAAATCACATTATCACGCAATACGGGTCTTTATTCCATA